AAAACTGTGATCCAGAAAACTACCAGCAGCTTTCACACACACTCCTCGTCCTTGTGTTTACTTCATGTCCTTTTAAGAGGTAAACACATCATGTGTTCAGAAATGCATCTCTCAAGTTCACAGTCCAACTGATACTCCCTCTCTGAAGCCGGTTAGTCATCACTGCTGTCACAGTGAGCACTGCATCTTTTCGTTCTCTCCCTGGCATCAAGAACAGCAACACCACAGGGGTGTCGCTGTATTTCATGTAGACATATTTTTTAGTGGGGTCCATCAGTAGCTTATACTGCTGCTCTGCCAGGGACTTCTATACCAGGAGGAAGAAAGGATCTAAAAATGTTGAAAGTGATACCTCCCAATTTCTAAGCATTGCGACAACCCTACAATGGCGCTTACCCTACCAAAGTCCCCAGGAAGTAGCAAAATGCTATTTATCCCCATTTTAAAGATGTGAAACCAAGGCACACAGCAAGATTAAGTGACTTGCCAAGTCATGATGGATGTTCCCAGCTAGAGCAGAGCGCTCTCTTGGTCCTAGCTAGCCTTGTTGCCGCAGTATGATGCTATTCTCACCCAGCGTGCTGCACAGCTGAGGTGATGCAGGATATCCTGTACCAGTAACTTGGAAGTAACGCCTGGGGGTGCACACATTTTGGACAGAAAAGTTTTAATGCTGTACTTCTTTTCTCCTTTTTAAAATGACGAGGCAATATCAAACCTTTTGGATTTTTTTTTGGTGCGTGCAGCTTTTCATGATGCTAAAAAGGCATGAACTCTTGTCAATTTGGGGGAGGGGGAGTTTGTGTAGCAAGATGGCTGCAACTCTGAATGCAATCAGAATGCAAACTGCCTGCTCTAATCAGTGGGACAAGAATTCAAGTGCCTCCTGAACACAGCAGTGAAAGGCTTTCTGCACAGCGGTAGAAATGACTAGCACTTTTTTGGAGAGAAGGAAGAGAAAGAAACAGTGCCCATTACAAAATAACCTTTCCCTGCCAGTCTGCTGCCTTGCGTAGTCCTCAGAACTGCAGGAATGAGGAAATGGAAACACCACTTTTGAACTGGCAGCCTTCACAAGAGGGAAGTCACCTAGGTTTCACCTGCTCAGTGTGGAGGATCTCCCCAGCTATGCAGTGAAATTGGAAAAACAGAAAAGAGGGGGCGTGAGTGCAGCCCACTGACGGTTTGCAGTGAACATTGGAAGCAAATGGGCAGCTGGGCTGGCCACTATCACTCATACAGCTCTCTAATTGATGGAATTGCCTCCAGTAAAGCACAACTCCTCAACCCAGGACTGCAGGTACAAGTAAGACCTATGAGTGAAGGAGGATGGATGGTGCTATGAACTATATTTTCCTTGTGGCAAAATGGCACTTCCTGGAAAAAAAGGGAAAAAACCCAACCTGAGAAGTGTAACCTCATTATAGGAGTCCTCCAGCTCACCCTTCCCATTCAAAAAAAAAAAAAGTGAATGTAAACGTACCAATGTTTTGTGCCTGAAATGTCCGTGCTACTTAGGAGTAAAGGAAGTTTGTCTAGTACGTCGTTCACTCTGGAAAGGTTGGTTATAGGTTTAGATGTACATAGCAGGTGTGACTGCAAGGCTCATAATCCCAAGTAAGAAAGGTCAGTCTGAATAACCAGTTGTTTTTTTCTGGGACTAAGCTGTGCCCTGTTTGTACAGCCGGAGAGCCAAGCTGAAGGATGTAGCTCTGTTTAAGTTCTCAGCAACAACCTTAGTGCAACACAGTCATGCGGCTCACTACGCCAGACGCCATTCTATCACAGTAGTTGGTGTGTGGGTAAACCCAAGGGATGTAGTCAAGTGCTGCAGAGCTCTGTCATGCAAATCTGCTGAGAACCGGGGCCTTCCGTCTGTGTATTTGTTGGAATATCACCTCTGCAACCTGCAGCGAGCCTTGGCTTAGACCCCTGTTCTCCATCGCACTCAGCAGGTCTCTAACAGACCAAACTGTAAACCTTTTAGCTGTCATCAGTTGTGTACCTTTGATATTTGGAGACTAAAAGAAAAGACATGGTTTAAAGCTATACTATTATTATAATTTCATTTTTGTATCATACCAGTAGTCTCTTTCATCAAATGGTTTAGAACACTATATTGCTTATCATGGTAAGAACTTCACACGGGTAAGTTTTACCTTAGGGTGATAAGCAATTAGCAGTGTATTAGCGCTTTTTTAAATTATTGTAGACTTATTTTCCCTTACACAACTAAAAATACAACTCAGCTCAGTATCTGGCTCAAGAATTATGGATGTTAATGTATTTTAGGCTAATAGCGATCATTAATATCTTTGAGTATTCTGGGACTTTTAGGTTTTGAATCAGATTTGAGAGACAGTAAAAAGGAAGGCAGGATTGCAGTTGGCAGAGAAGATATTTTAGATCATCAATTACCTCAAAAGGACAAGATATAATTTATTTTAAAGGAGTTTTCAGAATTTAAAATGAGCCATCAAAAGGCAGCAGAGGTTTAAATTTGCATTAAAAAATCTAAGGGAGAAATTGATGGCGGTTCAAGGCAGGATGGCCTCTCTAAAACCCTAAGTAGATAAAACAGGAGAAAAAAATGCCATTTCAGAGATATAGTCATATACTTAATGATATTACCCTGCACAAAGCCCGTACTATCTTATTGCACTGAGTAACTTGGAGCAATGAAAAGAACATTCAAAGGCTCATTAGAAAGCCTTGACCATATGGCTAGTTTTGTCTTCTGTGCATTCTCCTACACCAGCTCACCACACTATTACCTGTTTGTTTGACATGCTGGGACCTGTATAGATTGAAGGAGACTTCCAATTTATTTTTCAGTATCATGGAGATGGCTTCTCAAATACCTTGAGGGCTGTTACAGAATTGCTGATCTACATTACTGCTGATAACGATTTGGATTTAAGTAAACAACATTTATAATCTGGATTGTGCGAAGCAAACAGAAAGATCTGTGATTCTGTCGAGACATATAGACCACCTACATACATGAAAATCACTGGTGATGTATATAGCTCAGCATAAAATAACCTGTTGATCTCTGGATTTTATGTGATGCTACATTATAGAAGCATCTTGTAACACCTCTGCTAATGAAAAGCTGTGACTGCCCAATTCTGTATAACCGCAAACACTTCAAAAATCAGTTTAGCCAAAGCTCGTATATACCAGAAGAGTAATTTATCTGATTCCTAATTTTTCTTGCGGAAAGCTTTCTTTTACTTTCCTTCAGTCTAGCAAATAATAAAGAAAAGGCTTAACCCCTCCTCAGCTGTCTATTACATTCCTAAATCCATGCCCCAGGGTAAAGTAATACTCTATGTGGCGAGAGCACCATCATGCCTCTGAGGATCTCAAATCACTTTTCAAATATTAAAGTCCCCCAGTACCATTGTGAGATATTTATGAATACATGGCAGTGACCTTCGTTTTACAGACAAGGAATCTGAGGTGCAGAAAAGTTAAGCAACTTGGCCAAGATCACAAAACAAGATAACGGAGGAGTAAAGAACATGGAGCCATTGATTTTTCAGTCGTGTGCTTTAACAGCTAGAAAATGCTCCTTCTGAGAATAGGGAAGGAAAGAAAAAAGGGGGGAAATGAGACTAAGAAGCTAGAGATGTTTCAGGTAAGAATTAAGATGCGTTGGCAGAGTGGTGTATGAGATATAAGGGAGAATCACAGTAGATTCCAGCTGAAATACATCCACAGAGGGAGAGATGTGCAGCCTGCCTGGGGTAAGCGCTCAAATGAACAGGCAGCCATTAAATGGAAATGTGGATTTGAGATCTCAGTCGGGACATCTTCAGACAATTTATGCTTATGACCAAGTAATACTGGCTGCTGTTCAATATCTGATCGGCTGAAGGAATCTTTCCTAGCAAGTGCGAAGGATTGCGCTGCAGGATATAGATGGAGCAGAACTGAATGTGCTGGGGAGACAGCCCCATGCATCTTGGCTATCCCATTGCCTTCATTTTGTGGTACAAAATCATCAATCAAAGCTGATCCCATGGAAGTTACTTCTAAAGGAGAATCGGGGAGCTAGAGTTCTACATTACCTGCAAACTCCTTTAAAAATACATATTTCTAAAACAAACCCCCTTGCTCACAAGTGAGATTTTCCAAAATACTCAGCACTGGCCCAAAACAGCTTCTTCTGGAACTAGCAACAGGAATGTTTTCAAATCAGTGGGAGCACAACTCGTCCAAAGACGTGCCCTTCGGACAATCCCACACAAATTATTTGTGGTCAGATTTTATGCTTAACTTCTAGCAAGTCACATCTTTTACTATTGTCTTTTAGCAAATGAAGCCGCCAAAATTCAAACACTAAGAAGAACAATGATCTGATTTTCTCATTTAGATACATAAATATTTCAATGGAAAGATCAATCCATTGCCAATCTGCTCTTGTATGTCCTCTTTTTTTTTTTAAAAAAAAGTGGCTCGAATATTCTTTTGGTACAAACCCAGTTTTTCTATTACTCACAAGGGGTCTGTGTGTGCATGAAGTTACAAATCACTGGTTGTCACAAAATCAGGCTGTGCAAAATCTCTTTTGGAAAACGTATCATGCAAAGTTCCATATTGAGTTGAGAGTAAAAAAATCCAAATGAAACAAAATAAGAATTCCCAAACAAGAGATTATAAACGTGGGTAGCCAAAATATAACCCGTTCGAAAGCCAGACAGATCTTTTGGATTAAGTAGACATATTTTAAGACATGCAATCCTGATGGATCATGCCCTCCAAGCCAGATCTGTTTACAGCTGTGGTCTGAACCCTTCATAACAGGCTTCTGAAGAATTGCTTCTCAGGCCACAGACATGTTCAGGTGCCCATTATAAGCTGCTAACGTTAGAAATGGCCGTGCTTCAGGCCAGATATCTCTTGAAACACTTTATTACCCTTTCCTTGGAATATGGAGGTGGAAAGCAGGCAGCCTTGTGGCAGAGAGAGAGAAATAAAGACAACAACTGCAAAACTGTGTTGTTTTTATTTTAAACATGCAAAATACAGTTCATGCATCTGCCATTTTGAAAAATCTCTCGGTTCATAGCAGATTAAACCAAAGACATTTTGGCTATCGACTCTCAATAAATATTTCAAAATGCTTTACAGTGTAAAGATAAGAAATTTAGCAAAATTTCAACAAACCTGTATAAAAAACAGATACAGATAACTTTTTATTTCAAGGCGACATGCTGTAATGTAAAGAGTTCACTTTTTTTTTTTCTGGATTTTTTTTCTCATAAAAAGTTCTCAACAATACAACCGCTTAACAGATTTAAGCCTTTAGGCTACACATGCAAAAAAATGGTTATTTTAGTTAAAAATCACCAAAACGTGCTAGTTTTTTGTTTCATTTTAAAGTACAGTAGTTGTAGACAGTAGCATTTTTCTTTTTTAATTTTGTAAAAGAGTGCAGGCAGGTTCATGGAGCTAGTGTCCTGGAAGACTCGTACTCTGACACACATTTTGGTTTTATCCCTTTGCCATTGTAATAGTCCACCACTTGGTTTGGAACTTCAGCCAAAACACTTTTTGCTAGAGCAGCTGGGGATGCCTGCAGGAAACGGTAGAAAACACAAGCGTTAACCTGGCTCTCTGCTAGAAGTGCCATGGGTTGTAGAGGCATCGGTGCTGTCAGATCAAGGTAGGCAGCATGGTATAGAAATGGAAGGCCAAAAAAGACTCAAAGTGAGTGGCACTATTGTTGGAAACTCCTTTTAGGAGTCAGTTTGGGCTGCCTGAAAGAACACTAAAGCCAAAAGTGCTCTGTATGTCTTTCAGGTCCGTTTGAACTATTTTATGTTCAGGGTAACTGAACTTCCCTGCACCCTGGGAGAGCACCATATCGCAGTGGTAGGGGCTGCCAGGGCTTCATTCATCAGGACTCAGCGAGGAACCCTGCAGAGCTTCAGGCTGAACGTGAACGGACATCACTATAAAAGGGAGGCCTTCATCACCATTCTTCTCTTCAGGATCTAGCATGGTGTTTTAACGGCTGGGGAAGTTTTTAATTCAATAAAAAATATGTTGTTTTCATTGGAATTAAACCATGGTCACGAGACAGCTTCAATCCTAGGCTTTGTGGAGGCTTTAAAGCTCTTCCTGCAATGCATAAATGGTGGGTGTCAACCAGACTTAAGAACTGATGACCCTGAAATGTAGAGATGGATGTAGAGATGGCTGCTGGCTTTCTCCCCAGGCAGGGAGGAGGGCTACCCCGCAGTGCAAGGAGGAGCCGTGCCCTCCATCGACAACACGCAGTTGCCCCCTCACGCCCTGACAATGCTTCACATGAAGCAGCGTGGCCTGGGGATGTTTTGTGGGCAACCGTTACCTGCATGTGCTGCAGGGATTTTCCTCAGCCCCTGAATTCAGCAGTGACAAAACTGGATTCCTGTTCTCTCATGTTTTGGATTTGCTTGTTTCCAAGTATTGGGGTAGAGCTGATTCCAAGCCTCCCGGAGCCAGCCTGCTGGACCATGTTCCCTCTAAGCCCACCACAAAAATGCAGTAAAAATGCAAACACTTAAATATCAGTTTGAGAGGTTTAAACTAATGTGTTTATCTCCAGATAGAGCATGCATGGATCACACATTGCAGCTCAGACGATCCACAGGAACTCAGCTGGTGGCTGGGTCACATTTCTTCTGCACACCAGGTACTTTTTCCCACATTAATGAACACTTCCCTCCTTACTGTCTGTTATATCGCCAGCCAGGTTTCAAAACTACCATGTCACCAAGTAGTTGTATTGACTGTTCATTGCCCTACTCTATTGCATCCTTTCATAGTCTTAAAATTAGGCTTACGTAGGATGTAAACGGCAAACTATTCATAGGCAAGGTAATCCAGGGATGCAGGATAATAGCCCTGGGCTATTACAAATTCCAGTATCAAATGTTACAATACTAGAAAGATAATGCTAGCAAAACGAGAAGCAAAACTATTTTTTGTATTTTGGTATTTCAAGTCACATATGTGATTAGGAACGAATAAAATGAACAGCTATTTCCCTACCGTGACATTTATACCAAAATATTTGTGCAGGCAAAAAAAGCCTGGAACATTTCTGCATGAACAAACTGGCAAAGCGGAGCCCATACCTTGTGTGAGAGCGCAGCAAAGGTTCTCAGGTCTTACGCAGTAACAGAACCCATTTATTTTAATCCTTCAAAGTGAAATGCATGGTTTTCCACAGTTGCCCTGTTCTTGCCTAAACCTGTTTTCACTGAAATCAGCAAAAAATACCCCTTGGAGTCAGGCAAATGTCTGTTTTCCGTGTTGCTATTGAGAATTACTGTTTTATAATCTCCTTCCCGATGTGCCAAAGCTGTATATGCCTTAGCTTGCCCCTGTGCCATCTTACCAAAAATATAACCCTACATCAAGGGTGAAAACAGGGCGTCGGGGAAGAGTCCTGGGCCATCGTTGCACACGCAAGCCCTAGCAATGGGGAAACTTCACTCTGCTCTATCTTTAAAAATGCCGGGCAGGAGCACTTGCCATCAGCTTCTCTGGATCACGTGCAGTCCGTGTGTCTGAACGCTGGGCCAACACCCATCTCTCTGCATCGCCCTCCCATCGCCGCTCCTCTCTCTTCTGATGGCACATAACATAACGAAGGGTTGGCCCTTCCGACCAGGTTCGGTCAGGGCTGAGATCCACAGCTGAATTACTGCTGCTCCAGGAGTCAGCTGAGCTCTGCGCTCCCTGCCCGGGGCGCAGGTGAAGTAAAAAGCCTTTCACTTCAGCTAAAAACCAGCTAAAACCAGCTAAAAACCTGTGAGGTTCAAGCTAACACATTTACTGTGCCCACAGGCTCACAGGCAACGTGTGGCCCCACACGGAGTTGCCCTGGGGTAGCTGCCCTGACTCCCTGCTTCAGTCTGAACACGGACAGCTGTTGCTTTACGCAGTTTCATCGTGTCGGTGATGTCTGTTGGTCCTGGGGCTCCTTTCAGCAGGGAGCTCCCCAAAACCAACGTTCGGGGTGATTTCCTGCCTGACAATTTGGGCTACCTCTACCTTCCAGACTTTGGCTGTGGTAAAGCACTCTCACTTCTAGACCAGATGGTGCAAAGCAACATTTGTATAAGAATAAAGAACCAGACCTAGTAACTTCTGAGCTAAAAACCAGTCCCAGTTCAACAGTGCTGTGGAAGGGTTACCTTCGCTGGGTTTTTAACACAGACGGTACATTGTTTTACTGGAACGTTTTCACTGCTGTTTAACTGCTATGCTTGAAAAGCATCCTAGCGATAAAGACCTCAAGACAAATAGTTCTCAACTGATGGCTAACACACAACGATCAGATCAGCCAGCAGCAGGAAAAGAATCCCCTATGACGATAATTGGTGTATATTACAAAATGACTGTTGATTCAGTTCTATAGCTTCACCATGCTTAACCTTTAATTACAATGTGTAGTGGAAAACATTGCTCCTTGCAGTGGTTAAGAGCTGTGCTTTCCACACTCATTTGTGATATATGTGTTACTAAGTCACGGTTGTTAGCCTTTATGATTAAATACAATGCAGAGCGGAATACAAGCTACCTGTGGCATCAGATTTGTGGACAGTAAATGCATCATGCATCCTCAAGGCAGAGAATTTAATCTCTTAAAATATGACTGTGAATGGATTAGGACAGGTGATTTTCTTCAACTACATTTCAGTGATGGTGAGCATCGCTGTTCTACAGTTTCAGGTGAAGGACACTCACACTGCTGGCGTGGTGATAATTATAGAGAGAAGAAATTCACTTGGGTTCATGGAAAACATTTTCCCTTTGTTTGCCATGTTCCCCTGTAGTGCATTGCATGTCACCCACTACACAATGGGACATTTTTTTAAGCAGTAATGGTTACCTTGGTTTTATCAAGCCTCTGCAGGTACAGGATTTGCCAAGAATCACTACAATTATTATTATTCTTATTCTGATAGCTTCAAAGGTGTTCCTTAAAGAGAGAGTACTCCTGATGATACACTACATCATACAGGAAATTAAACCCCTGCAATAAAGCTTTCTGTCTACACTGGGTAAAACGTTGAAGTGGGTACGAGGTTTTAGATATGTGAATGATTGTAAATAATTGAAATGTGTTAAATGGCTGTAGGCCTGCCGTGCAGGATCAGAACCGTCTCTGAAGTCAAACTTATCAAATAAAAGGAATTCACTCTATAGGTCGTTTTTACGACTTCCTTCTCCCTCCTTTCAATTTTCTCACAGGAGCAGCTTTTGGATAGATTATTTTTGATCTCTTTGGATAGATATGAGATTTTGAGTTCCGGGCTGACCTGAGAACTGAAGTAATGAAAAAAAAATATTGCTTGGGTTGACTCCAAATGAATTTTGGTTTACTGTTCCAGCAAAACAAAAAATAATGGCTCACAAATAACATTTTCCTCCCTTCTTCTGTCAGTAGTAGAGGTAATATAGATTTAGGCATAAATAAATACTTGATTTATCAGAAAAACCTATAAACCTTATGCAACTTGATTTGTAGTCTTTCCAAAAAGATCCTTCAACTCCTTTTTTCTACTTAAAGCTGAACAACCTAAACATCAAAACTAAACACAAGGTACATTTACAAAAGGGATCTGATTTTTAACTAAATACATCTTTTACCTAAAGCTGTCAAATGTAATACGCTGATTTATGGTAATTCTTGTGTTTGATCAGAGCCGATCTAACAAAAATCTCCCAAATGTGTTAAATCCACATTTCTCTGTGGGGACAAATAAGTTTGAATCAAAACATCACACTCATTTCTCCCGTGAAAAATCATGTCACTAGTTGATGCAAAAGGCATGGTCTTTTGTTTGTGCTGAGGATACGTAAGCCAGATAGCTGTGAATGTCACTCTGTTCAGAGGGAGAGATTATTTGGGATATGACAATAAAGCAATTCAACCAGAAGTGGCTATTGTTACGGGCAGTCATCCATTACACTGACATTTGTTGAAATGCTGAAAGATTGCAATAAACAGACTAAATATCAAGTTGCATAAGATATATTGACTTTTCTGATAGAGCAAATACATTATCTATCTCTACATCTATATTATCTCTGCTACTGAGAGAAAGGGGGAGAAAAATATCACTATTTAACAAGAGCAATAAATTTTGAAGATTGCTATCCTCTCCCAGTACCAGGGAAGTTAACCTAAAACAGCTAAAAATAATACATGCTTGTCATTTGACCAATGCTAGCAATTAAAATCACACATAGACTCCCTCACAAGTTAACACCAGCGGCACAATATATTCAGTGTCCAGAGCTGCAACTGTCAGCATTAACCTCTTCCATCAAGGGGGATTTCAACTTTGTTATCAAATCACAAAATGAAACTAAAAATAACAAATGCAGCTGGCTTTGCCAGTTCCTTGCAGAAACATGTTTTCAACTAATTGAAAGAAGGTCTAGCACTAGCCCATAAAGAACTTGCCTCAACACTTTTACAATGGACTGCAGCGTAGCACTAAGCGCTTGTGATTATCTGACGAAGGAGAAGGTGCTCGTTCTTTGGTGACGGAGGGGCAGTGGCAGCGTAGAAATGTGTACGTGTCTACAATTCAGTGGCAAATTGGCAGCCATTTGGCATAGTGTCGGCAAACTAATAGCACAAGGTGAGTTTCACCTCCTATGAGGATCCATTATTTACATAAAGGTAGCGGGAAAAGAGGAACACGTTTGTTTCTCTTACTCCTCAGTAGAGTTTGTGAAAGTAAGACTCATGTCTGGATCTAAGACAAATATGGCAAAATTGCATTTTGAAGTGAGAAAAAAGAACAACTCTTGAGAAGAGGGAAATAAAATCAAAGTATTTTGGAAGCAGCAAACAGAAAAAAAAAAATCTCATGTGGTAACAAAAAGCCTAGAAAAACTAAAGAAATGTAAGCACCGCAAACCCATATGCAGCCCAAAGTCAATGCAGAATTGAAAACTGCGTGACATATGCAGATCTAAGGATCACTGGTGTACGGGAGCAGATCGGAAAGGGCAATCTCATAAGGAGAATGAGTCAGTTACACTGTGGGATAAAGGAATTTTCAAATCAAATACCAAGGATATCCTTCCTAGACACCAAGGTGAGCGAAAAACCAGTCTGGAGAACCACTTCAATATAACAAAAGGAATGAGCAGAAGGAAGGGAGAGAAAGATGGAAAAACAGAGGGAAGGGGATGTGATCAGCATTGCAGAGGAACACAACGGCCACGTCATGCTTCCACATGGAGGAACCCTGAACCCACCGGCTGTGTGCGGCAAGGCTCCTTCTCTGGGCCAACGCTGTCTCTACCCACCTGCTGAAAAAGTCCCTGGGACAGATGCTGCCACGTAGGGCAGGTGACTGGGCAGAAAAGTACATGGCCAGGGCAGTATTTCAGATTTGGCAATTTAATGCTGGGTCTGTCCCTTCCTCTCCTGGAGTGTCTCCTACACCACGCTGGGCTCAGGCAGGAGCAGCTTGCTGAGGGCACAGGGAAGCTCTTCGTAACACCACTTTCTTGGTTGTGTTCTTGTACAGAATTTGGGGAACGGGTTTGGAGGCAACCAGGATGCTGTGGGTAGATAGTCCTGCCTTTGAGAACTTAGGGATCTAAATTTCAATAAGGAAACAGCCTCCTGGGGAACACTCCGAGTACAAATTCACAGCTGTTGCAGCTGCCTGTGGAAATGAAGGGATGGAAAGCAGAATACAGTAGTCCTCTTAGAACAGAGGCAAAGAGAATGGAAAAGAGACCCCAAGAAAAATAAGTCAGGGAGGGCAACCAAACTGAAACCAGGGAGAAGGTGGAAGTAAGGCCTGGCACCACGAGAAGCACCTGGATTCTGCCCCACCTCTTCCTTCCCCACCCTCATAATCTCACTAATGGAGCAGATTTCATTCTGCATTCCTTTTTTTTTCTCCATTTCTGACACAATAATGCCACAGACTTACTAAACACTTCATGCCCATCCAAAGTTAGGCCCAGCCCCAAGGACCATCCACTGTATGTTATAAACATTCATCCTTCTGCGGAACAGACGGAAAAGTCAGCTTACGTGTTTGAAGTTCCTAAATGGCACAAACTGGACAATGTCTCGAAGCACAGGCTCGCCCTTGGGAGACCTCAGGATCCCATCATCGCCATCCAGCATCTGCATGTCACTAAAATCGGCATTTCCCACCCCGACGATGATGACTGACATGGGAAGGTGAGAGGCGTGGACAATGGCCTCTCTGGTGTCAGCCATGTCTGTGATGACGCCGTCCGTCAGAATCAGCAAGATGAAATATTGCTGAAGTTGTTGGAGAAGAAGTGAAAAATTATACCATTAGTTAATCTTCCAAAGCTGCTTGCCCTTTTCCAGTATAAAAGTGTTGCTGATAACTCACTCATGGACTTTTTAAAATAATCTTTATAGTGACTCCAAGGTTCAGTGTGTTTCCCATCCAAACCTCCTCCTCTTTTGGAGTTCAGCTCTAGTTCAGGTAATTTCCGGGAGCTGGAGGGAGCCAAGGGATGCACAGTGTAGAAGAGGAGGTTTCTAGCTGCTAGGGCTGGGACAGTCGGGACTTTGGCTGGGAACTCTGGAATAGTCCTGAGCCCCTCACTAGCCCTATTTTCCATCTGCTGCACAATCCCTTCTGCTGACAGTTTCTGACTACATTTTTTATTCCCTTTGGGAAGCAGTGGGAGGCAGGGAGGAATGGAGTATTGAAGCGTTACAAGCCTGGAGCAGAGCTGTCAGGGAGGTTACGACAGCACTTTGCGGAGGAGCTTTGCTAACAGGCGAGTGGAGTGGGTGCAGCCATCTGCAAACTGGAGGGTGACCCACTGCTGCCTGGGGGAGAAGCACCAGGGCAGGGCTGCTGCATTCTGCAGAGTAAGGGGGTCCCTGAGGAGAGCAAGGGCATGTGCAGGGAGGAATACATCCATCTTTAAACGCTTCATACAGAGCCCTGAAGAGAGGTTTTCTTATTCTCTAAAGGACAGCAAGTAATTTGGGGCGCTTGTCATTTCTTTCCCAAAACTCTAAAGCCCACATCATGGGCTAGATCATGGGAAGAGTGACTCTCACTTGGATCTGTTATGAAGGCTGGAGTCATTTAACAAACGTGCAGTAATAGGAAAAATGAACAGGTCATATAATTTGGTCACCCTGCATGCGCAATACCAACACACTAAACATCACGAAAGTTTATGTACACACAGCTGTATAAACTCAAAGTGTTCTGTTCATCACCTCCTGCCATGAATGAAACAAAATATGGAGGGAGAAAACTTTATCTTGAAGACTCATGCTACTTCAATACATAGGCGCTTTCCTTGCTGCAGTGTGCAAGTTCTCTCTCACAGCCTTTACTCCCACGGCACTGCTCTTGTAAATGTTTTAGACCTACTCGTTCAGATATTCTCTCCAATTCTGTCATTCTCCCTTTCTCCCATTCTGTCTGGAAGGCAAGAGAAAAATAAGCCTACTGCATTTTGAAGATATACATTTAAAACACAATCTATGCTTAAGTCTTTTAGCCTCTGGCATGGGTTTTGTATCAGATGCAAACTAACAGACTTGTTAGTTTAAAACTTAGGTTTTAAACTAAAAGAGGGTAGATTTAGACTTGACATAAGGAAAAATTTTTTTACAATAAGGGTGGTGAAGCACTGGAAGAGGTTGCCCAGAGAGGTGGTGGAAGCTCCATCCCTGGAGGCGTTCAAGGTCAGGCTGGATGGGGCTCTGAGCAGCCTTATCTAGTTGGAGATGTCCCTGCTCACCGCAGGGGGGTTGGACTAGATGACCTCTGAAGGTCCCTTCCAGCCCAAATGATTCTATGATACTATGATCTCTAAAAGGCACATGATACTCCGTGTCAGTAACAGCAAACTGAAGACTATATCACTACAGTTTCCAAAGGAATGGTTGGAAAAATCCCCTAGTAGAACGAAAAAGGTTTAGTACAGCCTCTGCGAGAGACTTGACATTGGGTAGGCTGCGTAGGGAATCATTTGAACTCATCTCCTTGTATGACCAACACTTTTAGGGCTTGGCCCCTACATTTTTGTAACCTCAGTGGCGCCGTTTCTGTTTCCACAGTGAAGAACTGGGTGTGGTACAGTAGAACAGCCCTAAAAGCAAGAGACAGAACAGCGGGGGAAGACTTAAAGCTGTGACTACTGAAGCTATAAAGGCTAGATACACTGCTCCAGCTGACACAGACTCAAGCTGCCTCCTGTGAAGTTAGTGAGAAGTGTGAGGGCATGATTCACGTACACGAAAAGGCCTGGCCTTCTTCTGGAGATCTGTCACAAGATGAGGAAAGAGTCAAAGACAGCATTATGCCCTTACCGAGGCCTCCTTGGTGTTGGTCTCCTCCGATGCCGATTTTGCCACCTTCTGGATGATGGGAGCGATGTTTGTCGGCCCATACAGCTGCAGCTTGGGAAGGCAGCTCTGATAAGCCTCCACAACACCTTGTATTCCTGCCATGAAAAGCCACACAAAAGGCAAATAAATGTGCAGCACACCACCAATATCATGCTTGTTTAAAATGGAAATAAAGGGTGGGTTCTTAATGAATAAAGCCAAAATGATTAGCAAGGACTAACAGCTTCAGGTACTTTCTGCGAAGTTGTCTCTGAATCTAGCTCGTAACATATAATTATGCCATGCTTCTCCTTCCTAGCACTTTTTAATGTGTGTTTTCCAGGTATCAGCTTGCAATGCCATAGCTTCCATCCTTCTCGGTTCAAGGCGTAAGCGATCACTTCCTGATCACCAGCTAAGATTCATGCTAAAAGGGTAGATACAAATGAAAAACACTTCAACATGTCTCTCTCCTCCTCTTCAGATACATATTTATTTCTGTTTATCATGGTAGTTACCAACAGATTTGCCCTTTGTACTTACAACCTAGAGCTGTCAAGGAACTCAAACATCTTTTCAACTACCTGCCCTCCCTGTGCTAAGAAAATACATTTTTAGGGTGAATTTGACTATGACCAAAAGCTGCAAAATCTTGTAAGAAACAGCAGGATGCTTCACAGTCCACAGAAAAATGAGCTTTAGTCAAGAAGGCTTGATGGAGAACTAGCTATTTTTGGCTTTTTCATTTCAGAATCTATAGCCAGACTAGGGAGAACAGACTTCTGCTGACACACTTGACAGATCACAGAATGGAAATTGGTGTTTTCAATCATTGAGAAGGATTTCTTGAAGCGATGCATGTTAGCCTCCACAATCAGAACTCCCAGCTTACCAGACCTAAGGGATTAGAGGTCTAAAGTTGGAAACAAAGCGATAGACTGAAGAGCTTTGTAAAGGATGCTGAAGAATGAAATTACTTCAATAAGATCCTAAGCCAGTTTCAGTTTGCACTGAGACTAGCTCACTCATGAGATTTTCCTCAGCCGTGTTTACAGGATATATGGGTGCAGACTGGTTACTAACAAATCCCACGGAGTTGTAATGGCTTTACGATGATACACCTGAACCTCCTATGAAAACATGGTGGAGAACACAGTCTTCTCTCTTTATAGCTAGCTACGAACATATTTTCCCATTGCCGTGCTCACAGACAAAAGAACACGCCCCAGTTACAGCTATGATTGGCTAAAATGCAAAGGAATGTTACAAAATTTCCCTTGGCAATTCCCGTGACTAAATTACATATTGCAAGACTGACCTTTTCTTAACTCCTAATTTTAAACCTGCTAAGGATTTCATTACATATACTTACTGATCTTGCACGAAGGCCTCATAAATCTTCCCCAAGATGATGACAAGATACACTGTATTTTTTTTTTTCTTATGCATTAGAATAGTGTAAGATAAACCTTACTCCCTGCATTCCACACAGGTTTAGCGTGGTTCATGCCAGAAAGTTGCTTTCATCTTAGAAAGAAACATGTTCTAGAAACATAATTTCTTGTTCGCTATCTCAGATTAATATCTTTTAGAAATATCTACTGTCCTTATATATCCAAATCCAACAGGATATGTGAGCGGCTTACTTTACTTTGTCACTTACTTTTCTTGGACTCCTTTATTTTAGGGAGAGCCAATGGGCATTTTGCTTCACAATTCAACTCGTTACATTTTTAATTAGAATCCACTTTCAATAGCTCTGGTGAAATACAGGGTATGCATATATATATATATATATATATATACACGTATGGGTTTAAGATGCATGTAAAACGCATGCATGTGTAGAAGCATTCATTCAGATTAGAGGTTGTCACTTACTTTCTTCCTCAGACAATGAAGACCAAATATTAAGCGTAAGACTATGAATATAATATACTATAAATATACTAAATATCAGGCTATAAATACTACAGTGTTCAACAATGGAAATGGTAACAGGGAGGAAAGGTGAGGATATCCTTATTTTATGAATTCCGGTGATCTTCATATCAATACGCAGTCCTTAGCCAATGTAGAGTGATGCTTCACACTACCTTGTGCCAGTGAAAGCTCACTACTTCCACAAAGAAAGGGATTTCATTCCTCAAAAGCAAATTAAACACATACTTCTTATATTGGATCCAACCTCTTGTTTCTTGGTTTAAAGCAAGATACTTTTTAGCCATTTTCCTTTGTTTTCTGGCAAGTATGCTACATATTACGAGGAAAAATAGCGTGGTCACGAAGCACTTTATCTCCCTCTCCCTCTTGCATCCTCTCTCCACTGACATGCTGGTGTTGCTGCTCCCTGTGTCACCTCATACAGTGAGAGCATCTAGAAAACATTGCCGAAGATTTGGCAGTAGGAACTTATCAAGCATCCAGGACAGGCAGGTGATGAGCAAGCTGCAGCAGATGATTAAACAGCACGTTTTCTGGTCTGTCTCCTTTTCGTGCTTTCACCCAGATGGATATTATTTTGAAAGGTATCCTTTAGGACAAAGAAGTGCTTTTTATATCTCATAGATGCATGTGCGGATGCTGCAAAATTTCTTCCCTGGCCTTCTTTTGTGCTGCAATCATCTTTTTTATGTCTTCGTAGCCCTAAAACTCCTTTTAGGTGATGAGTTAACTTATCAGGTAACTGAGTCTTACGCAAAGAACCAAATAAAGCTTAAATACCTAACAAATCGGAAGCAACATAAGCCAAGGCTCATAGAGCAGCTCCTTCCTTTTTTTCTTAACCTCCTCTCATTTCCATTGTCCCATTTTATTTTGCGTACATAGTATGGTCGGGACAGTTAAGTTCTCGCAGAGGGTTTGTCTCTCCAACCTCTGACCTGCTGCTGGCATTACATAGATGTGACACGGCCTTTTCAATCAATACAAATCCTTACATAAAATGTCAGAGTGATAAAAGAATTAGCCTTGAACTCTAAAGAGGCAGCAAAGCGGGGATAAAAAAAGGTGTTCCTGGCATGGACTGCTAGGGTTTTTTTCTGGGGTATGCAGAAAGTCACAAATGACCTGCATTTAGGCTGGGACACAAAGCCATATTTGAACACTACATGTATAAATTTGTTATCACCTAGTGCTGACCATTGTTAACTGAGATGTTGTAAACAGATCAGGCCCTGTGTAGATGCCAATGCGTCTGTGTTCAGAAGCAGGCAAGCTAACACATTTTAAAATATGATGGTCCAAACAAAATTCCGAGGTCTGTTTTGCTTCCCCACCTCGTCCCCACACCCTCAGTGTGACTAAAATCTCAAGTTCAAGCTGGCTGACAAGCTTGCAGGCACTTCTAGATGCATACACGTAATCTCTGCTTCTTTTAACTCCTTAAAAGCAATGTAAAAAGCAGCCTGAACACGTCAAGCAGCTGTAGGACTTACGCCCAATTACATTTCAAGCGTATGACCTACAGAGGCTGGGGCAGTCCAACAATCTGAGCGCAAAAACAAAGACTGAACCGAAAACAGAGGTCTTGCTTTTAAGGTGCGTGAACTCGGAATCCTTTTTGTGTCTTTTTCCCTTGAATTGCTTGTCCTCTTTTCTTTTCCTCACTTCATTTCTCGGCCTCTTCATTCTCATCCTAAACATATTCTATTCCGCTGACCGTGCCTGAAAGAAAGCTACTAATAAGCCTGAGAAGGGCTGAAAGGAGCAGCTAGAAAATTTGAACAGGAAGAGCATTTTGAAACACCCATTTCTGTGTTTGGATGGTAGCAGAAGGATAAGGGAGAATAACAACCTGTGGATTTTAGACAGCAATGAGACTCTCAACGAAGTGTTAGTCTGGGATTACTTGTTAAGACTGTTTAGAGATCATCGTCCTGTTATTCTCTTTTACAAAATGTGTGAATTGTGGTAGGAGATTCTAGAAAGATAGCATCAGTCACCGCAGACCTCACTTAGAAATACAAGACGTACAGCAACATCTGCGACGTGAATCTGGCCTCTGCCTCCCGAGGATTCTTGCTAGAGCACACCTATATCTTACGCTGCGTTAAAACAGCCTCCTGCTGCATTTGCTGTCATGAAAATATGCTTCCTTCTGCCACAGTAGTCCTCAGCTGCTCCCCTGGCCCTTTGGCGCTGGATGTCGCTGGACTGACTTGTTGCTCTAGGTCTGGCCAAAGAACTGCTCTAAACGGAGGGAATCTTTGATCACGGAGGCTCACAGCCTGCTTCTGCATGTCGTGCCCTTCTGAGCTGCACAACCTGTGATGTTGATGTAGCTGAAGATCTGGAACGAATCTAGAAGACACGGCTTTAGTTTTCAGAAATGCTAGTGATTTGGGGAAGTGCAAGTGCTGAATGTCCAACGCGGTGTACTTTCGGAGGGACTTGTTTTTCAGGAAATTAATGTGTGGCACTTCCTAAGGTTTCTAAAGCTAAGCCCAATGGCTCGGAGTCGGTCAGGTTTTGAAACTCCGAGCTGCTTTCTTTAAAAGACACTTTGAATAATACCCAGAGGATACAATAAAAAATGCAAGCGCATTTTGCACACAGCAAAAATATGGCAGTCTGTCCTAATGGGAGCGTTACCTGCGCATTCTGGGTTGTCTTCGTTGAAATTGATTGCAAAATCATGAGAGACCTGCAGATAAATGGAAAGAAGAGAAGACTCTAGTCAGAAAAATTATTCCAAGAGGGCTTGCGGTTAAACACCTTTTACATTCTTTCTGTGCTAAACCAGAGATCTTTCAAGCTTTCAACCATTAAGTGTGAAATACGGTCCCAGCTGGAACTCCCCGCAGAAACCAAGTAACAAAACTGGAATCAAACTTGTTTGATTAATGATAATGAATAACAACAAGAAACCCAAGAAAAAATAGTGCAAAGCAAAAACACGCAGGTACATGAGAAATCACATCAATAGGGTGTCAGGATTGGGCTGTCAATGCCAGGCGCAGAAGAGGGATCTATTGCTGGGGAGATTTGAACGCCAGCTCTCCCTAGCTCAGCATCCCCGACTGCAAGGGGAGAGAAAGCAGGTTGTGACGCAGCGCTGCCAGCAGCCGCTCAGCCCCCTCTGAATCCCACACCACATCTGTCAACAGTTCCGCATCCAAAGGCCATGCGGGTACTGGGGAAAGAATTTATTCTCCAAAGAGATCGAGGAAGTCGCCTGGACCTGCTGTGAAATAATAACGCATGAAATGTAAGGGGTCTAAGCTGGTTAAGAAGTTAGATTAGGCTGGGGGGAAATTAGTAAGAAAAAACCCGAAGACTTGTTTGTCTTCAAATTTAGTGAGTACCTCAGTCTCTTTCTCTCAAAATCTTGGTAACAAACAGAGCTATTTTCTAAGAGAAATGACTGTGAATACACAAAAGTTGCTGATTTTCTCATAAAACAATGTATCGTGTCTTTAGTGGCTTGGGAAAATAACGCAAGATTTATGTATGCCCAAATAATGCAAGGCAATGTAAGTCTCAGGTTCCAGGCTTCCTCCGTCTGTCTGTCACTTACAGCTCCGCATCCACAGCACAAATCTGTTGGGACTGAAACTTTCTTCAGGTGCTCTTCTCTGGTTTTAAGGTTTGTTCTTGCTCATATTTTTTCCCAGATTCATTTTTGCTCCTTTCTTGGATGACTGAGAAAGCTTGATTCCTTTTAATCTCTTCAGCTCTTAATTCTCCTGTTTGTCTTAAATTGTCTTGAATGAAGCCCAGCTTTTGTCTTGCAATGCACAATGTGTATATATATTTTTTGTTTGTTTGTTTGTTTGCAAAAAGTGGATATGGCCGAGAGTTAGGCAGGCAATTTTCATAATTTAAAGTTGAACGCAGGTATATCATCCCAGGTTCATGAAGGCATTTACATAGCTAACTCCAGTTACACACATTTGAGACTTTATAGATCTCTGTAGGACCTTCAGAAGTGCCAACCGTCATAGACAGATGGAAAGCAACCTGTTTACTCCTTGTACAATGGAACCCGGGTTATTTGCAGCAAGAGATTTATTTGTTGGATGTTGCTGTTTTATTTGCTAGTTTAGATGACTTGACAGCACAGTACGGAAATTGGTCTATGACTAATCATCATAGAATCGTAGAGTGGTTTGGTTGGAAGGGACCTTAAAGCTCATCTCGTTCCAACCCCCCTGCCATAGGCAGGGACACCTCCCACCAGACCAGGTTGCTCACAGCCCCATCCAACCTGGCCTTGAACACTTCCAGGGATGGGGCAGCCACAGCTTCTCTGGGCAACCTCTGCCACTGCCTCACCACCCTCACTGGGGAGAATTTCGTCTCTATAGAGAAGCTTCTGTAAAAGCAAAGTGGTATAAGTTGGCTAAGGACTGCCAAAGGGACTTTCTCACAGAGAAACTGAATTTCCCCATCACATGCTGGCCTTGCTCACCGCAGTGATGCCTACCATTACTTATTAAGCCATTGAGGTTACCCTACTTGGCCATGGAGGATAACGCAGGAGGTCACTACCTGTGTTCCTTGCTGAGCAGGGCTGTCCGGTACGCGTCAGGGGTCGGAGCCCTTCTGCCTGGCTGCTCCCTATGTCCGGCTGCTCCATACGGCTCTCGGCACGCTTGGCCCAGCTGGTATCTGCCAGTCTCATGACCAGCCGCAGGCCAAAGGTAATTGCAGCAGTCAAGAATAGTTATGTGAGTTTTCACTCATTGATGATTTTTTTTGTTGTTCAATAGCCTTTCTTTTTCCTGTAGGTTTTCTGTATTTTGTATTAACTGCATCTCAAGAGCAAGAAGGACGGTGATGCGTGTTTATGTATTGCAGGCTGACTCTTCCAACACTGTGCCTCTTCAGTGACTTTATTTCTTTATTCCAAATGCATTTGAAATTATAGCTAAAGGAGTATCACAATTCTTTTCCAGAGCTATGAACACAGTATTTTAATCTCACATGCAAGCACGGGCTGGATGCTTTTGTTGCTCTACCTCTTTCAGGATCACACTACACAAACAATTTATCTGGTTCAGAGCTAAGGCACCCGGGCTATTAT